AGGGTGGCGAAGGGGGTCGTTTCGTAGGAAACGTCGCACGGGATGCGCAGAGCCGCAGAGACACGAGAGAGATCAGCGCGAAGAGGTGAGAAAGCGGGTGAATATGCGAGTGGAAATAAGGATAAAATGTCCGTGGGAAAGTACGGGGATGCGGCAATGCTCGAATTTGTTGCAATAAAAGTACAGTAGCGTGTCCTGCAGCAGGGATAAAGAATGGAAGCGACACAAAAAATATACCCGTGTAGCCACTAGGTGGGCATGTGAGAATTACACGTGTAGGTAAAATCCTACCGCTGAAACATCTCTCGCTCTGTCCCTCTCTCGCTCGGCAAAAGAAAGTGAAACAAAAGGAGAGAGAAGAAAAAATATATATTAAACCGTGTAATGTGTCCAAACCGATGAAAATTACCCAGGCGTATGCAGCGAATTCGTGCTGGAATTTCCTAATTTTTTTTCTCCTTATTTCCCCGGAAGACTGCAGCTCCAAAACTGCAGCGACGTTGGTATCTCCCGCTTCCGGTAGCAGAGAGGCTCATCTTGTCAGGTATTCGGTGCGAAGGCTTTGAGTATACAGAGGAAGGAGAAGCAGCCGTTCGTAATGCTGCTACGCCTAGTCATTATCGTAATCCGGTTATCGCCTATACGCCGGATTAGTTATGAATCAAGATTCCCGAGCTTAGTCCTTCCCGCGTAATGTTAATCAATTATTCATCAATTCTTCGGCTACGTAACACCCGTTTCCTCCATTAAGATAATTTCTATGAAACGCGTATCCAAGAACCGACAAGTATCGATCATGTCAACTCGATTAAAACCGTTCTAACGGCGCTCCTACTTAATCACAAAATTATCGGGTAAATTGATCTTAATCAGCTCTCAATATTGAATATATCAAGTTTATAGTCGATTATCAACAATCCCCAGTGTATCCTGTGGTCCTTAAACACATTTTTCATCTTGCAAATATCCCGTCGCCCGCGCCTGTCCGCAGCTTCGTGCGATTTCACATAGGTGTAAGATATCAGAGCGTATTTTCGACTTCGCCAAGAAGCAGCAGAGAATTTCAGTGAATGAGGGGGGGGGGAGAGTATGTGAAGTTAAGAGGGAAAGGGGTGTTGCTCTCAGGGCCTGGAGTGGAGTTCGATTCCCCCCCTGGTTGAGGTTTTGTTCCGCCATTGTGATAACTCAAACAATACAGCCCTGACTGGCACTATACACGAAGGGGTGTATACGGGCTGTATACCGGGTGTGCGCGTATAGAAAGCGACGTGGGGCCGAGTTTCTCTAGTGGTCCTCCTCTTTACTCTTTCTCACTCTCTCTCTCTCTCTCTCTCTCTCTCTCTCTCTCTCTCTCTCTCTCTCTCTCTCTGTCTCTCTGTCTCTCTCTATCTCTGTCTCTCTCTCTATCTATCTCTGTCTCTCTCTCCCTCTCCCACTCCATCTCTCCCTCTCTCCCTCTCTCTCTCTCTCTCTCTCTCTCTCTCTCTCTCTCTCTCTCTCCATCTCTCCACACCTCGATTCCTCTACTTGGGCTTCGACATAAACCCAAGCCCACCCACACACGTTCTTTGGGATTCGTCCTCTCACAGCCCCTGCGTGCACGTCACGAAAATGTACATGCTCTACGCAGCCCGAGGGTTGCCTTTAGCAGTCTCGTATGAATATGCATGTAAGGGTTCGCGATGTGCGTCCGTCAGTCGCTACGGGAAATATGGGTGGGCGAGAGGGAGCCTGAAAAGCCTCATTATGAATACGATTCTGGGGAACAAATAGGATTCTCACTTGGCCGGAGAACAGCTAGGGAAATACAATTCCTCCACTTTGGAATGCATTTGCGTGACCGAGCCAAAAGGAGAGGAGCGAATGTCGGGAAGAATATTGGGTAGGAGAAAAATCAATTTTTTTTTTCATTTTGACCTTCCTTCAAAGAATTGATCAGAGCCAAGGAGTTAGTTTATACACAGTGGAGCCGAGTCGTCTTCGGTGTAGGAAATCTCGATAAGTCACGAGCGTCTATCTCGAGGCCACCTTGACCCTCCTGCTCTGTCATTATCTCTTTGATTCCCCCGCCTATATTTAGCCTTCATCTCTCGGGCCACGTCGAGGATCCCGCGAACGCTTATCCGTCGCGTCGCCACCTTTATCGTGACTTTACACTTCGCGAATGTTACATCGCTTCTATCGTGCTTGTTTTGTCAGCACAAACATTCTAAACCGACCGGATCCGGGCGTGTTACTCCCTACAAACCCCTTTTAGCCCTCCCTGCTTCCTTCCAACCCTTCTTCACTTTTGCCCGTCTATTACACGACACCTGGCACTGCTATCTCTCTCGCTCTCTTTCTCTTCGTCTCCCCTCTCTCTCTCTCTCTCTCTCTCTCTCTCTCTCTCTCTCTCTCTCTCTCTTCGCTTATATCAAACTCTCACGACGACTTTTGCTAATTCCCTGTATTCCGTGCGAGGTACTCACGCCCACAGAGGGCCTAGCTGCTGTAATGAAAGAATGGAGGAAGCAGGAAGTTTTGATTTCGGGAATAATTTCTCGAATCGAAGTGCTGATTCGACGAGCCACCAGAGATTCGAGAGGGTTGCGATAGATTGGAAACGCGAGCGATTTATCATATCCCGAGCTGCGTGATAGAGGGATGGTTGCTAGGGTAGATGATGCTGGTGACGCAGGGGGTAGCAGTGGTGCTATACTGCTGCTGGCGACGGTGGTGGTACTGGTACTGATCCTCTCATGGAAACTTTCACAGCTTCTCTCAACATTTTTCTTCTCTAACTTCTCTTCCTATTTTCTGTTATTCTTATCTCTATCTTCTTTTCTGTATTTTTACGAGCAGCGACTCAGTTGTTATACTCGAAACCGATCGAAAGTGCCACTTTCACGTTTCCGATTTGCCATTCGCTCCGAGAAACGTTTTACGTGAAACAATTTTTTTTACCCGGAAAAGAAATTCAATCGGAATCCCATCGAGGCACTAAGGTTTGCTCTTCGAGTTCAGACGCGGTGGTGAACCTTAGCAAAAGGGGAATCGGGTTGGTCATCCCCTTAGTGGACAGCTATGGCCTTAGAGGGCAACCCCTATAAATTCGAGGACGTCCCGACGCTGCCCTATTTTGTGTATCGCCCACGAGCTTCCTCCGAAACTCCATTTAAATATTTGGCATAGCCATACATAGTTCGCGGCTTAACTGTTGGCTGCACCAGCGTGCTTAGGGTGATTACGCATGGCGACGATATTGCCCTGCTTCGCTGTCCTACATCACGCGATCCCCTTGCCACAGGAAGTGCCCTGGCGAGGGAAGAGCAGCTTTATTTTTCACTTGCAGTCATGTTCAAAAAGTGTCTATCTCTATGCAGATATGGCAGAGCATGTCGGAGCAAAAAGGGGAATGGAGCGAAGGGATGAGAAAGAGGAAGGCACGAATAGGAGTGAGAGGTGGTTTCATTCCCCTAAGGCAATCTAGCTGACACGTTCGGTGCGAAGCAGGTGTGCTTTGAAAAATTCATTCGTCATGAAAAAGTTGAAGAAAAAAGTAAGTAAAAACGTAGAAAAACCCGTGAAAGTGGAATGAACACAAAAGAAACGAAGCATGATTCTTGCAAATTCGAGCAAATCGAAAATGAAGAGTTTTTATGGGAGACGTTAAAAATTGCGAAAAATTTCAGAATATCAAAATTCCCTAATGTGCCTTCCGCCCATTGGGTGTCCAGTAATTCGCACGAGACGAAGGAATAAAGAGACCAGCTGGTAATATATATTATCAATATTAAGGGCCGTACACATTGGCGAGGGCACCCATTGGTAATCGGAGCTGAATAGGTAAACTCGGTATTCAGGCAGCATGATGAATTGGCCTAATTTCGCGGACGGAAGGTCACGTAGCCCCAGTAAATCTTGGACATAGCGTTAGCGCCGTGTGCGAATCGCGTGGACAAAACATTCGCGAATACGAGAGGCGGTATATGGCGCGTTAGGGGCACGGCTGCGATGCCGTCGCGACGTCGACGCCGGCAAGCGATTCTAAATCATATCAACGCGCGGAAACACATGCATTCCCAAAACTGTTCGCAGCATCGTCCCCACATCCCTCCGTCGCTGCTGCTCCACTATGGACCATCCTGCCAACCCTTTAAACCTGTTCGAGCCCCCCCCCCCCCCC